GATCCGTCCTCGAGTATGTCGCCCACTTCTTCCATCGATGTAATTTCTTGCAATTTTTCTGTTGAGGGTAATTGGATACCTAATTCTTCTTGTAAAAACTTCAGGGTTTTTTCCGTTTTGATTTGTTTAAGGGAGGTAAGTACATTTATTTTCTTTTTCCCTTGCAATGCCAAGCTTGGTAGCTCCTATTTGATGTGAGGCAGGAGTTCTTTGGCTGTGACCGTCATGCTTTTTTGTCCGAATTGAAAAGTCAATTTCTGTTCCTTCATCTTTGCAGCTTCTTCTGCGAGATTATTTTACAATGTCAAGAAAACAAAATCTATATTTTCTAAGAAAAATTTTACGAATCAAAAGGAAAATCTAAATTTTTGAGCGAAAAAATACAATTTCCAGAGCTCAAGTAAATATTAGAGCAAAAAAAAAATTTAGTTTTTGGTCACGAATAAACTCCGAGGAATTTAATGATCGATGACGCGATGGTGTAGATTGCTGAGGAAAAATACGTGGAGACAAAACGACTGAATGATCGACCCTTCTGGTGAATCAGTGTCTTAAATTCCTAGTACTCTCCTACTGAGTACCTGATCGACTTCTCCCTGGGGAAAAGACAGGCGCCTCCAACCATGTGATGACCCTGATTAGGGGTCGATAGGGGACGTAGCTGGAGCGTCGCGACGTCAGCCGACGGGACGTCTCTAAAGAGAGATATCTCGAGCTGACATCACCAAACTCCAGGGGGACTGTTGCGTCGGACAGTGGTCGCCCGTGGTCTCTCTATGGAGAGAGATCTCGTGCAGACCACCTACACAACACAACAGTGGGTGCTCTTCGGGGGGCAGTCGTTGACCTCCCAAAAAACGAAAGACGTAGTCAATAAAGAGAGAAAAGGTCTGTCTTTGACTGAATTTCGGTATATTGTTTGAGTTGGCTATTCTATCAGATGAGAGGGCTCGACAAGACACAAAAAGGAATAGCAAAAAGGGGGGGGGGGGAAAGACTCAAAAAATATGGACGGTGTTGAGAACGAACCGGAGTCGTTCGGCTGACGTGTCGGTTCGTCAATGACGCGCATGTGCAGACCGGAGCCCTGAGCACATGCACAAGACGACCGTGTTGCGAAGACTGGCCTTCCTCGAGCGTCCGAGCAAGTCGCCCAGCTCCCTACGCTCGGGTCGGCCGGCGGCGCGCATGCGCATTTCCCAGCGGACATCAGCATTTTTCCTAAAGTCGGTGCTCCTCCTGACGTTGCCAATTTCCCCCTGTAATGTCTGGGAAAATTGGGCGTCTCCTCACAGTACCGAAGAGAGCCGCAAGTGTAAAATTTTCGAAATCGGGTTTTCTTCAAAATTCGTCTTAACTCTTTTAGATGAAATTACTGAGACAGCTAAAACAGCAAAATTCATCCTAATTTAATGAAAACGAGACGTATGAGAAAGCTGTAAGTGCACAAAAAATGACAAAGTTTCTTTCAAGACAGCCGTAGGTGCATGAGAGCCAATAAAAGCGGTGCTTTCCAGTAAAGTGCCGCCCTCTTCTGCCAATTTCTAACCTGAAAATGTGTTCGTGTTGCGTCCAAAACGCAACCACGAAAGCATGTAGAAGATAGCACTTACGGCTGTCTTGCCTAACAATAACCTAACACGAAACTAAATTTTACCTTTTTCATGTACTTTAATACAAAATCGGTCGAGTTTTAATCCCCCAAATGATTTCTAGGAGTCTTTCGGACGAATAGTGGCAATTTGACAAAGAACGGAGGCTTCTTTCATTAAAATGTTTCGGTCAGCAGCTTCTGAGCCCGTTTTCTCAGAACTTCATTTTTGCACTTACGGCTCTCTTCGCTATCACGGCAGCCGTCCCCGACGCACCACTTCTGACAGACGTTGCCATACCTGTCAGGATCTCAAGAGTGACTGACCTACGAAAAGAGGCGTAATTCAGCCAGCTGGGGTGCGAGGAATAATGTTATGTATTGTACATACGAAGGAAGATAGAAATTGCTGTTAACAGAGGATAGTTGAAAACGTATTTCTTTACGCTGCATTTTTGGTAATTGTATTATTAATGTAATTTAATACGACTTCATATGGCTGCAGACCATGTCCCCACCTAAAGAAGAAATAACAAGCGGGAAAGCTCTAATACATAGGTATTAGAGAAGCACTCAGCGGTGAGAGCAATTTTAATGAGTCTCAGCTTTAATTTACTACCCATTAACTGAGTATGTTTGAATTTGCAGTAATAAAATTAAGTAATTCTTAATACAACAATAAAACATCTAAAATGGTGATTTGCCCCCCCTCCTCCCACCATAAAAGATTCCAAGATCCAAAAGAAAAAATAATGATCCATTACTTAAATATTGAAATTTTAATACATAAAAAATCCTTGATTACTCATAAAAACAGAAAAACCTATTAAGGCTCCAAAAAAAAATAACTTTTCTAGAACACTTAAAAAAATGTATCAAAGATGAACGTATCTCTTAACGAAGCCAAATTAGTTGTTATAATGCTGCCCTACTTGGACAAGTAAAAAATATTACAGGGTGTCCCAAAATTCCGGTACCCCCTTCTCGTAAATTTTGAACGGTTAAAGATAGAAAAACGAAACTTTGGGAATGTTTCTATCTCCAAGGGGACCATCTTTTAGGGGGCTCAAAATTTTTGTCTCTCCCTCGGGGGGGGGCGGGGGGTCCCCCAACTTTTTTTTTCTAATGGTAACCCCTATCTTGTGGTAAATCATTAGAAAGAACATCAAAGACTAAGAATTTTGGTGCAAACCGCAGATCAATATCTCAATTTTTGACCCAATTATGATTGGTCACAGGTCAAATTTGACCTATTTTCAAACAATCACAACTTCGGTTCAAATTATCGTATGGGAAAAAACAAAACGGTATAATTTAGTACATTGTAAGCACTTTTAAGTAAGAATCAGAGAAATCACTGCAAACTAATTTTAAGGGGGGTTTCGGACCCCCAAATACGTCAGTTTAAAGGTCATACGATTTTCCCGCGATTTGAGCCAATTTTCCTTAACTTTGCTTCAACGTTATCTTGGTAAGTTCAAAATTAGTTCAACATTGCGTTTTCAGGTCCCTAAATTTTGAGCAAAGTTAAAAAAAATGAAATTTACACCTTAAATTTCGTTTTTTGGTCGGCACTTGCGGTTTTCTCATTCGTCTCGTTTCTCTACAAAGAAGACGAAATTTGCTGTTTTCCCAGCATCAGTGATTACATACATTGAAGTTTGTTTAGACGAATTTTGATGGAAGCTCGTTTTCAAAATTTTTAGTCAGGACTCTCTGCTCTCGCTATTACGGCAGTGTTGCAGTCCCTTTTTGACGTACGAGGTTCATCCCAAAAGTCTTACGCGTTTTTCTCTCATCTCAAAAGTATTAAAGGTAAGAGAAATCCGATTTAATGTGCAATGTGCATATGAGACACACTTTCAGCTTTGATTTAAGCCCAAGTTTTTTAAAAACGGTTAAATGGGACGCTCTGGAGATCATTTCTCTCGCGCCGCCTTCGATGCATTTCCCGTCACCTCAAGGCGCACGGTATCCGTGAGCAGTAAGATGTGCAGACGATTGCGGCCGATCTGATCCAATCGCATTGAAATACTTATCAATATTTTTTACGAGGTTGTGAACCTGTTCAGCATGCTGTTTTTTAGGCCCTCGATATTGAGTGTAATCAGTGTTCTTTCGGCATTTGTGCAAGCTTATGATGTGCATTGTGTTGTAAAGATATGGCCCTTCTAATGCCGGAGAACTGTGAAGTTCGGTCAGTAATTCGATTTTTGACTTTGGAAGGTGTAGACTAAGTTAAATTTTTTGCAGACTTAAAGCAGTTTACGGGGAAAATGTGATGAGCTATGGAAATTTCCGGAGTTTGAGCCAATTGTTTTGCAAAGGAAGAACAGAAGTGCACGATGAAGCCCCAGATGGCAGGCCAAGTGTGATCGATAGTGACTTGACGCAATGAGTCAACGCCTGTATCCGCGAACATCACCGAATGACACTTTACGAAACGCTCGAATAATTTCCTGTAACTTCTCGATCTGTCTTGCATAAAATCGTTCATAAATGGTTTAATTAAAAAAAAATCTTGCCAGGTGGGTTCCAGAAATGCTGGCTAATTGTGCGCTTGAAGTGGCGCGGGAGAAATGACCTCCTGAGCGTCCTGTTCATGTGATTTGTAAAAACTGAGGCTCAAAATAAAGCTGAAAGTATTCCTCAAATGCACGTCTAATCAGATTTTCCCTATCTTTAGTACTTTTGAAATGAGTGGGAAACGTGCAAGACTTTTGGGATGACCCTTGTAGAGCGCGAAGCTGTGGCGGAGCACCCAAAATTTCTCTGTGAATCCACTTTAACATTAGGCATGGTCTCGACAGAGCAATTTTTGCGGTAATTTCGTGCAACTGTTTTAAGGACGAGGTAGTGAACAAAAACGTTTCAAGTATCAGTGAAACTTTCAAGGTCAGAAGCCACAACAGTAGTGAACAAAATACAAAAAACTGTTCGATGTTTTGAGGTTTCTGACTTTGAAAGTGGCACTTGTAGTTGAAACATAACTTTTGTTCATCACCTGTCATGGCAATAGTTGCACCAAACTCCCGTAACAGTTTCACTGTTGAGATCAGGCCTTACATATCATTTTTACTGACCAGGAAGTTTTTCAGAACTAATGGGTCGGAATGAATTTGCTTGGAGCTGCATAACATAGTTATTAGTTATGTATCAGCATGTTTAAATTTTACATGTAAACTGTACAACTCTGTATCTTCCGAACAGCTTCGAATCAAGGTAAAACCGGTGTAGGGGCTTTCCTCACAAGTTTTGTTTCAACCACAATTTAATGAAATGCTTTGGTTCCCAGTAGAAGGGCGGGAAAGTGGTCTCTTTTGCTATAGTTTTAAGGAAACAATGGCACATATACCAAACAACTTGTAGTATTTACGTCTACAAATATGAAATTATTTCTGCTTTTTAGGTAAGATTACAGTTGTGGGATACTGCTGGTCAAGAAAGGTTTAGAAGTTTGATCCCATCTTACATTCGTGATTCAACTGTTGCAGTTGTTGTTTATGATATTACCAGTAAGTTATTGTTTTCTACACCTTAAGTTAAATAAGTGCAGTGAATTTTGGGGCGGATCAGAGGGATTAGTTCCCAGAATAGAGCATTTCTGAAAGAAAGAAAGACTGAAACTTTCAAGATTCTTTACCTTCAAGAGGTTCAACCTCGCAAGTGAGCCAGGAAGGCAGCAGGTTGCAGGGGGCCCAAAATTTGCTACGTTTTGGCGAATTTTTGAGTAGAATCACATTAGAACGACGTTGAAATGTAAAATTTGACCAAAATTTACGTAATTGTCATCAGTAGGTTCTCCTAAACATTATTCTGGAAGTTTACCACTTTCTGACCGATAATGTAATCCAACACAGAAAATCGCCCAAAAGAAGCAAATTGGGCCTCCTGCCCCTCCCTCCCCCCTGGCTCCCTAGGGCCTTAGAATCTTGGGCTCATTTGCGAAATTGAGCCTTCATAAAGATGATACCCTGAAAGTCTCACGCTTCCAGAAATTCAAGATTGTTATGCCTAGCCGCCCCACTAATACAGGATTTATAAAAATTACCTCTACAGCAGTTTGGGTAGTTTTGCTATATCTGACCGCCATGGCAATCTTCTGAAGTAAAGATGATCTAAAAACTCCTATCCCTCCGTCTCATTTTGTTAATAAGTATCCACAGTATTTTAAGGTAGAGGAGGTAAACTTAATCATGATTTTGTAAACTTACGTGGTTGCTGAACATTCTATGTTTTAAACATTGAGACTTCAGAGCTGAATTATCTCTCCCTTGCTGCTGCTCAAAATTTCCTCTCTATCGCAAGCGACAGTACGGTTCGTAAGCTAACCCAGACAAATTTTGAATGCTCAAATCTTTAATTCCTTCTAAATGCACTGGTGTGCATGTGCGTGGAATGCACCAATGAATCGGTTTAGTTTGGTCATAAAAAATTCGCAGAAGCTAGAACCTTTGAAAAAAACCGGCGCTCCGCTTCGCTCCGCGCCGGTTTTTGGGGGGGGCTTCGCCTCCCAAGCCCCCCCAGGACACGCGCTTCGCGTGCGTTTTTTAGTTTGAGTGTCCGGCATCAGTTGTTCTGTCTTTTAAGTGACCCGCGCGTCCACCGCGGGAAGAGTGTATTTTCCGAAGGGAGGGGCGGGGAGTTATCAATCTTTGGGGGTTGGATTTACGTTTACACTGTTGGAGGCATTGATTATTCGAATAAGGACTTCATGTCGTCAGATGGCAAAAACAATCCTCATGTAATGTGTGATATGAAAAAATGTCAACAAACGCTGTGGCAAGCTTGAATGACGATGGATGAATCTCCATAACCCACTGTGTGACAACATTGCCGTCTTATCCACCAATTTTCAGTTCGTGACCCACTGTGTGACAACATTGCCGTCTTGTCCACCAATTTTCAGTTCGTGACCCACTGTGCGACAACATTACTGTCTTGTCCACTAATTTTCAGGTCGTAACCCACTGTGCGGCTTCCCTCCTCTTTTGACGCACATCCCCCGCCTAAAACTTTCAAAGCTCGCCATTTTTAAACGGCTCAACCGATTTCGCTCAAATTCAATACCAGCCTAGAACTAAGTAAGATCTTCCTTCTGTAAAAATTTCGGGGGGAAAGCTTTTAATTTGCACGAGTTATCGCGCCCACAAAATTGAACCTCCCCCCACTTCTCGCCCCCACCATTCGAAATGTAATACTTCGATCTCCGTTTTTTTTCGCAGAATGGTAGTCCTGTTCCTCTACTTTACATCGCAAAAAGTTTCACCCGGAAATTTTTTAAAATGAGGGAAATATAACCAAGCAAAAATCGGAAAAACCACGATGAGTCGGAAATACATACATAAATAAGCAGATATATATATATACATATAAATATATAAACATGAATTCAAACGGCATGCATATTCGTAATCTACGACCCATGATCGATGCTCATTACATGGTCTTTGGTCCAGGTCTGACATCAGGGGAGAACGCAATAGTGTATTTCCTTCGGAAAATACACTAATATAAGTATTTCCTCTTTAAAAATCTCGCAGTTTCCTAAAGGAGAATTTACCCCTTCCAATCTAGTGACTCTTCAATATGGCGCTCATTAAGTCATTCCGATCATAAGCTTATAAAAGAAGAAAGAGACTCTATGTGCGGTCCTTGAGATATGCAACGTTTTGCGTGCCTAAACCGGAGTTTAGCGCACTTCTGCCAAAAACGGAACTACTGTGTGGTGCCACCTCTCCCTTTCACTTCCAGCACCCGCTAGTGGCTTCCTGCTATCCTGCCACCCTTACCCTATCTTCTCTGCTGCTACAACTTTAACGCTCCCGAAATTGCGTGTTTTATCATCAGGCTGTGCTGTTTTTTCATATTGTCATTTCTTTTTGCCTTCCACCTCTTCTTCACATACATTTCCCTCTTGCCTTGAAAAACATCATGGTGAAGTGGGAGATGATGAAGAAGGAACGACGAGTTACAAGTGGGACGCCATGATGCTTACATTCTGTCTGCAGCTACGACTTATACCCTGGTGGCTGGGTTCACGCCAGGATACCAGGCCACTAACCCAAGATCTAGAGGTTATTCATTCTCAAAACCGAAATGAGAATCTTCTGCGCATGACATCAGCATCATTGGCGGGAAAGCTAAAAAGCTGGTAAACAATGCTTTGGAGAAGGCTAATTATTATACAGGGTATGCGGAAGATAACGTACTTAACTTTCAGGATCGCTTTTTCGGCTCAAAATAAGACTTTTTTTCCTATACACATATGCCCGGAAACGTTTCATACGTGAGCTATGCGCTTCCAAAGTTGCCATTTTTTTTCGTTCAAATTAATATAGCTCCTAGTCATTTTTCCGTAAGTGGCTGAAACTTTGATTTGGGGGGTATTTTTTAGCGCGCTATCCATTTTTTGTGTTTTCAAGGACGTACGTCTTCGAAAAATGACGTCACAAGCGTTCCCGAATTTGAGAATTGCGATAACTTTTTTGGTATATGATATTTCGAAAAACGGATTACGGCACGTGAAAGAGCGTAAAAAATTAAGAGATGAAAGCACTGCACAAAATTTTCCAGAAACGCGTCATTTCGACGCAAAAGAACTTTGAAAAATTTTAAGATTTTCGATGCTCCTTGCTGTGTAGGCAATTTTTACTGCAAGGATTGAAAAATTGCCTACACAGCAAGGGGCTTCGAAAATCTCGAAGCCATTGAGACGGCTCTTGACCTTTCCCTCACACTTTTTCCAGGCTTGGGACTGGTCCGAGCATCATTTTACGAAAATCGCTGTTAGGCGGCAATATTTTTGATGTCAAATACCTATCCACCGAAAAATCATACTTGGAGGCTTATCAAAAACATGGTTTCAAAGTGTGGTAGTTTCGTAGCATAAGTTTAACAAGTCATGCTCAATAATTACTTGTGAATGCTCGGGGCGATTTAACAGTTTTTTTTTTGTTTTTTTGTTTTGTTTTTTTGTTTTGTTTTTTGCAAACCTCTCTATTCATTGGGATCTCTATTTTTACGTACACGCGGAGACAGGATTTTCGCTCCCCTCTACGATGTAAATCGCACTGCAACAATTCTGGAGCATTTCGATAACGATCCTCAAACAAGTACTCGCCGAGCTGCAGCGATTTTAAAAATTCCAAAGTCAACTGTGCATGAAACCCTGAGGGCTGATGGGCGTCACCCTTATCATTTACAGCGCGTCCAGAACTTGCTGCCGGGCGATCTTCCACGGCGGGTTGAGTTCCGCAACTGGTTCTTAACAAAATCTGCGGAGCATCCCTTGTTTCCACGAAGAGTATTTTGGACAGACGAGGCGACATTTACCAGGGTGGGAATATTCAACCAAAGGAATCATCACATTTGGGCCCACGATAATCCTCATTCTGTCCGCGAACACCACTTCCAACACGATTTTCTCTTGAATGTATGGCTTGGAATATTGGACATTAAGCTGTTCGGCCCTCATTTTCTACCAAATCGCTTAGACGGACCAAACTGTCTTGATTTCTTGAGCAATGAACTACCCGTGTATTTGGAAGATCTTGATTTGCACAGGCGAACTCGTATGATTTATCAGTTAGATGGGTGCCCAGCACATAGGAGTTCGAACGTGCGGCGTTGGTCAAACACCTATTACCCTGGGAGGTGGATAGGCCGCGCAAACGTTGCTAACGATTTGCACCTCGTGCTTTGGCCACCCAGGACCCAGGTCTCCTGACCTTACTCCATTAGATTTTTTTGTGTGGGGGAAATTTGAAACAATTCGTTTATTCAGAGCCCATTCCCAACGTAGAAACGCTGCAGAATCGGATTGTTGCTTCGTATCAACACTTAACAGTGAGTATGTGCAGAAAAGCGACGACAACGTCTCTCTTGAAAAGCTGCAACGCATGCGTTGCTGTAAACGGCTCCCATTTTGAACAAAACCTGTGATTGAACTGCTTCACTCAATTTTACCGTTGTATTCCTCCATTTGTTATGCAAAAAACAAAACAAAAAAACAAAAAAAAAACTGTTAAACCGCCCCGAGCATTCACAAGTAATTATTGAGCATGACTTGTTAAACTTATGCTACGAAACTACCACACTTTGAAACCATGTTTTTGATAAGCCTCCAAGTAGATGAATCGTCTTTTCTTTCTTTAATCGTTTGAAACTTCCTGAGAGGCGAAAAGGACGTTTAGAGATTACCGCTCAGGGCTTAGATTTAGCCGAATTTGCGTTTCTATATTTTTTAAAGATTTTTGAAGTTGACGATGTCGGGCATTCGATGGCTTGTTTACATTCGGCCATATGACCTTCCCGCCTACTCTTGAGGTTCGATTTCACCAGACTTTGCAAGTGTTTTATCTAGTGTGAAAGGAAACAGAGACCATTAAACAAATAGAGAGAGACTAATTGAAATTGAATTTTTGATTACACAACATCATTAAGGATAATCATAGCTGAAACAGGGACATAACCTCTAAAGTAGCAATGGCCGACCGTCGACATACGAGGGTCA